TTTTTTACAAATGTAATTATTTATATTTTCATTAATTCTAATTTAATAAATTTTTTCCACAATGTTGTCGGTGGGGGGGGGGGGGGCAGGGATTTGGTGAGATAGCAGCAGTCTAAACAGACTCCTGAAGTTTAACTTTTGAGACTGTTGCAATTCTCAGTGCAGCAGCTGAAGCAGGAGATGTCGGCTTTCAGCGGCTGCAGTGAGAGCCAAAAAAGATCTGTTTCAGTTATTTCCCCCATCCGCTGCACTGCTCACCTGCTCTATCCACACATGAACTCCAGCCCCCCTCCCATGCGCCTAGGGCCCTGGGCTGTGCCAGGGGTGCCTGTGTAAAAAGACGGCCCTGCTCATGGAGCTAGGGTTGCCACCTTTTCTTCAAGTCAAACCAGAACACTTTAGTGGTGCATGACAATTTTTTCTTAGTGTACACTAGAAGATTGTAAAAGACCTGGGACACCTTTAGGTGCCCCAAAGGAGAATGTGGAGTGCATAACGAACAGTGGTTGTGACCGAAAAAAAAAAAATACATGTGTGTATGTATATATATATATATTAAATATGCTTACATTGCCATGCCACAAGTAAGTCTCGCAGACATGCATAAACCTCAGCACAATCATCCATTACACTGAACCGGACAGGTGGCAACCCTAAAACCCTTCCTTGCTTCAGACTCTGATTAGATTCCAGGTAATCAAAGCAGAGTGGGGAGGGGCAGAGGGGTTAACAGGTCTGTATCCGCTCACTATCTGGGCGGTCTGGTGTTGATGGACTCTGCTGATCCTCCTACACAGAGGGGGATGGATCTGCATCTGTTTCTTTTTAGTGGATCAGATTAGCAGTAGGCAGGTGTAAATGGACACAAGTCTGTTTACACAACCTGGTCCACGGGGGAATAGAGGTCTGTCTGATCAGGTCCATCTGAAAAACTGATAGGCAGACCTGATTGGACCCTTGGTGTGAAAAGTGCTTAACTGTTGAAAGAGTCGTTCCCTGAGTTGATGACACCAGAGCAGAGGACCAGCCCTGTGATAAATATGTCAGGCAGCCCTCTTTGTATACAGTTCAGACACATGACATTACACAAGTGCTGCTTCCAGGCACAGTCTGCCCACTGATCCCACTGATTCCCCAACCAATCTCTGAGCTAAATTAGCAGGGTTAGCTTCCTTCCACAAGTGCCTCATTCCTTAGGCCCCCAATGTGAGCCCTGCATGGTGTCATTCAGTGGCCTACCTGCTCTTCTCATTTGCCATGTTGGTGCTTGGCCTCCCAGTAAGTGTGAGTGGTGTCCTCATGGAGGTCTCTCTCTCATGCAGTGATGATGCGGTGGGTAGGGGAGAGCAGGGCCAGCATAGGTGGTTGAGTAAAGCCAGGGTATAGATAAGAAACAGGGGGCTGACACACAGCTAGGATTGAAGGAGCTGGGGGGGGGGGGGGGTGTTCTCACACACACACAGACCGGCACAGATTCTCCCTCACTTGTATGTGCTATTGAGCATCATACTACTACCTGGGAGAACTTGGAGCTCTAGGCATGGACTGTCTGGGTGGGGCCCCCTACTGAGAACCCTGTTGTCTCATTAAAGAGAACATGTCACCACTAATACATCACATAGGGGACTTTTTGTGATGAAAAATAAGGTTAAACATTTTTTTTAAAAAGTTAAAAACAAAAAGAAAAGTTACACCCAAGCACTTAATTTTTTAGCCCCCACTCACCAGCGCACATACGCATGTACGAATGTGCTTTGGGAGCCTAGACATAAAAATGACTGTGCTACACGCAGTGTTACTTATCACACAGTAATTCTAGGCCCATTATTCACAGTTAACTCTAAATTGTTGACCTGTAAGGGATTTTAAAGAGACGCTCATGGAAAATATATGATATCAAAGTTGCTGTTTCATGGGCACACACAATTTCATGATATGCTGGATATAAATGTACTCATCTTTTATAATTTGCCATAAAGTTATGTCATATATTGTGTCTATATGCCCTAAAATTAACTTTAGTGTATTTTTTTACTGAAATCTTCCATTTCAAAAACCATTGCAATAATACCATGTGACATAAAAAATTTAAACGACCCCTATTTTATTCTCTAGTGCAGTGGTTCTCAACCTTCCTAATGCCGCGACCCTTTAATACAATTCCTCATGTTGTGGTGACCCCCAACCATAAAATTATTTTCGTTGCTACTTCATAACTGTAATTTTGCAGTGGGAGGAATAGTGTTCCATCATTGGTATTAGTGCGAGGAATAGTGCCCCATCATTGGTATCAGTGGGAGGAATAGTGTCCCATCATTGGTATCAGAAGGAGGAATAGTGTCCCATCATTGGTATCAGTGGGAGGAATAGTGCCCCATCATTGGTATCAGTGGGAGGAATAGTGTCCCATCATTGGTATCAGTGGGAGGAATAGTGTCCCATCATTGGTATCAGTGGGAGGAATAGTGCCCCATCATTGGTATCAGTGGGAGGAATAGTGCCCCATCATTGGTATCAGTGGGAGGAATAGTGTCCCATCATTGGTATTAGTGAGAGGAATAGTGCCCCATCATTGGTGTCAGTGGGAGGAATAGTGCCCCATCAGTGGTATCAGTGGGAGGAATAGTGCCCCATCATTGGTGTCAGTGGGAGGAATAGTGCCCCATCATTGGTATCAGTGGGAGGAATAGTGTCCCATCATTGGTATCAGTAGGAGGAATAGTGCCCCATCATTGGTGTCAGTGGGAGGAATAGTGCCCCATCATTGGTGTCAGTGGGAGGAATAGTGCCCCATCATTGGTGTCAGTGGGAGGAATAGTGCCCCATCATTGGTATTAGTGCGAGGAATAGTGCCACATCATTGGTGTCAGTGGGGAGGAATAGTGCCACATCATTGGTGTCAGTGGAAGGAATAGTGCCCACATCATTGGTGTCAGTGGGAGGAATAGTGCCCCATCATTGGTGTCAGTGGGAGGAATAGTGCCCCATCTTTGGTGTCAGTGGGAGGAATAGTGCCCCATCATTGGTGTCAGTGGGAGGAATAGTGCCCCATCATGGTTTCAGTGGGAGGAATAGTGCCCCATCATTGGTATCAGTGGGAGGAATAGTGAAACATCATTGGTGTCAGCGGGAGGAATAATGCCCCATCATAGGTATCATATGTGAAAGAAATAGTGCCCCATCATTGGTGTCAGTGGGGGGGGGGAATAGTGCCCCATCATTGATGTTCATTGGGGGGGGGACCCTCTCCCATCTTCAGCCAGCATACATGGCTGCAGCAGGACCATCTGCACGGTACAGACACTTACCGGTCAGCTGTCTTCTTTCCCCAGCCGCTTTCCTCTTCACTCGCTCCGGCAGCTTCCTCACTCGATCTTCTTTGATCTTCGTGCTGCCACTCGGCTCCTCCTTCCAAGCTCCACCTCCTCGCCGGTGATTGGCCGCCTGTGTGCCTCTCCTGAGCTACAGTTCCGGCGGCCAATCACTGGCGAGGAGGCGGAGCTGTTGAGTGATCCCGAGGGTGTGGCCAGATGACAGGGGCGGCATGTCATGCTGCCTACACATAGCCTGGAGACGGATAGAGGAGCGGTGTCTCGGTTCCTAAGACCATCGGAAATATGTGTTTTCCGATGGTCTTAGGCGACCCCTGTGAAAGGGTCGTGTGACCCCCAAAGGGGTCGTGACCCACAGGTTGAGAACTGCTGCTCTAGTGTGTCTGCTTCAGAAAATATGTTTGAGTTTTACATAATCTTTGGGTGTTAAATGATTTTTATTAAATGTGTGCAAAAAATGGCTCTGGCATCGAAAGGACTCTGGATCGTTAAGCACTTAAAAACGATCTTTTGGTGCAAAAATTGAGATGCAATACTATTGCTTACATCAGTCATGGACTAAATACACAGTTCATAGCCCGCTCTACGGAATATGTGGTCCACAAATTATCATGTTCCTTTGGCCTTCTATATATTGGCAGAACTACTTAGACCCTCTACTACCGTTTTGGCCAAAACTGCTATAATATTCAACAAGGCTGTATCAATCACACATTACATTTTACCATCAAACAAAATAAATGCAGCAATGGTCTATGACTGGTTGCACTTGAACACATCCCTAGAAGTATGCCTTTGGCTAAGAGGTTCAGAGAGCTCTGCAATCAAGAGATCTATTGGATCTTTATATTAACCACCAGGAATTCAATAAAGCAATGAGGACACTTTTCTGGTGGTATGGGCCCACATGGTCTGTGCCTGTTGGATACCTACCCCTGCAGAAGGTTCATTACATACTGGACTCAACTCTGTCAATTTTGTAAGTAATACTGATTTACTATATAAAAACTCCATTTAGATCTCTGTGCCCTTTCCACATACACTATACTGTATTGCCAAAAGTATTGGGATGCCTGGGTTCAATATTGAGCTGACCCACCCGTTACAGCTTTAACAGCTACAACTCTTCTGGGAAAGCTATCCACAAGGGTTAGGAGTGAGTCTATGGGAAGGTTTGACCATTCTTCCAGAAGCACATTTCAGTGGGGGGACCATGTCCCATGGTCAGACACTGATGTTGGACAAGAAGGCCTTGCTCTCAGTCTCTGCTCTATTTCATCCCAAAGGTGTTCTATCGAGTTGAGCTCAGGACTCATGCAGACTAGTCAAGTTGCTCATGGACCTTGCTTTGTGCACTGGTGCACAGTCATGTTGAAAGAGGAAGGGTCCATCCCCAAACTGTTCCCACAAAGTTGGGAGCATGAAATAGTCCAAAATGCCTTGGAATGCTGACGCCATAAAAGTTCCCTTCACTGGAACTAAGGGGCCAAGCCCGACCCCTGAATAACAAGCCCATACCATAATCTCCCCTCCACCAAACTTTACACTTGGCACAATGCAGTCAGGCAAGTACCCTTCTCCTGGCAACTGCCAAACCCAGACATGTCCATCAGATTGCCAGACAGAGAAGCGTGATTCGTCACTCCAGAGAACACATCTCCACTGCTCTAGAGTCCAGTGGCAGTGTGCTTTACACCACAGCATCCGACGCTTTGCATTGCACGTGGTGATGTAAGGCTTGGATGCAGCTGCTCGGCCATGGAAACCCATTCCATGAAGCTCTATATGCACTGTTGTTGTGCTAATCTGAAGGCCACACAAAGTTTGGAGGTCTTTAGCTATTGACACTGCAGAAAGTTGGCGACTTCTGTGCACTGTGTGCTTTAGCATGCATTGACCCGCTCTATCATTTTACGTGGCTTATCACTTCGTGGCTGAGTTGCTGTTGTTCCCAGTTGCTTCCACTTTGTTATAATACCACTAACAGTTGACCGTGGAATATTTAGCCGCAAGGAAATTTCATGGATGGACTTATTGCACAGGTGGCAACCTATCACGGTACCACGTTTGAATTTCCTGAGCTCCAGAGAACAACTCATTCTTTCACAAATGTTTGTAGAAGCAGTCTACATGCCTAGGTGCTTCATTTTATACACCTGTGGCCATGGAGGTGATTGGAACACATGAATCCAATGATTTGGAAGGGTGTTCCAATATATTTGGCAATATAATGTATTTATTTATTTTGCTTTGATTATTGGACCTTCCCTGTCCTTACCATTATGGGGCTGCGAGACCTGCTTTATACAGTATATCTATATACTAAGTTTTGGAAGAGAAAGAAAAGCCTTCTCACACTGATGATGCCACTGTAATCCACAGACAACCACAAAAAGCAGTCTCCGCCTGAAGACCAACAACTCTAATGTGTTTACACCCAATGGGGCTTAGTCATGGAGATTTTTAGGACTTTTTGGGGCCTACTGCTATATATCCGTATACCTAGGCCTCCATAGTGTATTACCATTTATTTAGCACAGTAATTAAATATATTATACACAGGACACTCACATTTAACATCTTCTTGTATACAGCATATGAGACCTCATGTATGGGTGTACTTGCATGGGTTCAATAGGGAGTTCAAAGATGGCGTCCACGCGGAAATGACGTCACCTACGTGTTGCGTCACCTTTCACGTGACTTCCTCAGGGTCCTAAGTTCTGTTGAACCGCTGAAACAGTGTAAACGATAGTGTCTTACTTTTCTTGTAATCCAAGAATTTCTGCCCCAGTGACATCATAATATCCTTAGGAAAAGAGTACTCCCTTCCCGGCACTGGGAGGAAGACTTTCTTGCTGTACTTCACAATTGAGCAGGGAAAGAATACTATATTTCCCATGATGCAAAGGGAAATGCAGGAGGTAAGAATGTGTACAGTGAACCAGAGGAGGAGTGGAGGGTGAAGTTAGCACTGAGGGCTGTGTCTGCTATCCACAGTGAGCAGCTCACACTGGGAGTCTCAGACTTCTGAGTCCGCCTACTACAGTGAACCGGGATGTAATTACGTCTCTGCTCACTGTAAAGAACTACAAAAGGGCAGAGACAAGACTGGAGGTCACGGAGATACAGAGCATAGCGGCCACCAGCCTTACAAAATGGATGTCAGAGGGATTCAAAATATGATTCAAATAATGTACCCTGGATTTCTAAGACATTGCACAGTGGGAAAAGAAACAAGCAGCATGGGAAAGTCACATTCAGGGCATTTTTTCTGCCTAAGTCCTGGTACACACTGATGCGATATGGGAAATGCAGCAAATCATCCCTCATGGAAGAAAAATATATTTGAAATATATTTTAAAAATATTCTTCCCAAATATATTGCCATACAGGTGAAACTCGAAAAATTAGAATATTGTGCAAAAGTTCATTTATTTCAGTAATGCAACTTAAAAGGTGAAACTAATATATGAGATAGACTCATTACATGCAAAGCAAGATAGTTCAAGCCGTGATTTGTCAAATAATTGTGATGATTATGGCTTACAGCTCATGAAAACCCCAAATCCACAATCTCAGAAAATGAGAATATTAGAATGCAATCAATAAAACAAGGATTGTACATAGAACAATATCGGACCTCTGAAAAGTATAAGCATGCATATGTACTCAGTACTTGGTTTGGGCCCCTTTTGCAGCAATTACTGCCTCAATGCGGCGTGGCATGGAAGCTATCAGCCTGTGGCACTGCTGAGGTGTTATGGAAGACCAGGATGCTTCAATAGCGGCCTTCAGCTCTTCTGCATTGTTCGGTCTCATGTCTCTCATCTTTCTCTTGGCAATGCCCCATAGATTCTCTATGAAGTTTCAGGTCAGGCGAGTTTGCTAGCCAATCAAGCACAGTAATCCCACGGTCATTGAACCAGGTTTTTGGTGCTTTTGGAAGTGTGGGCAGGTGCCACGTCCTGCTGGAAAATGAAGTCAGCATCCCCATAAAGCTCGTCTGCGGAAGGAAGCATGAAGTGCTCCCAAAATCTCCTGGTAGACGGCTGCGTTGACCCTGGACTTAATGAAGCACAGTGGACCAACACCAGCAGATGACATGGCTCCCCAAATCAACACAGACTGTGGAAACTTCACACTGGACTTCAAGCATCTTGCAGTGTGTGCCTCTCCATTCTTCCTCCATACTCTGGGTCCTTGGTTTCCAAATGAGATGCAAAAGTTGCTCTCATCAGAAAAGAGGACTTTGGACCACTGAGCAACAGACCAGGTCTGTTTTTTCTTTAGCCCAGGTAAGACACTTCTGACGTTGTGTTTGTTGTTCAGGAGCTGCTTGACAAGAGGAATATGACAGTTGAAGCCCATGTCAGGATCACTTCTGTGTGTGGTGGCTCTTGATGCACTGACTTCATCCTCAGTCCACTCCTTGTGAAAGACCCCAACACTTTTGAATGGCCTTTTCCTGACAATCCTCTCCAGGCTGCGGTCATCCTTGCTGCTTGTGCACCTTTTTCTTCCACACTTTTCCCCCTGTTGCTTGTGCACCTTTTTCTTCCACACTTTTCCCTTCCACATAACTTTCTATTAATGTGCTTTGATACAGCACTTTGGGAACATCCAACTTCTTTTGCAATTACCTTTTGAGGCTTTCCATCCTTATGGAGGGTGTCAATGATGGTTTTCTGCACAACTGTCAGGTCAGCAATCTTTCCCATGATTGTGATTCCTACTGAACCAGACTGAGAGACCATTTAAAGGCTCAGGAACCTTTTCAGGTGTTATAGCTTAATTAGCTGATTAGAGTGGGACACTTTGAGCCTAGAAAATTGCACCTTTTCACAGTATTCTAATTTTCTGAGATTGTGGATTTGGGGTTTTCATGAGCTGTAAGCCATAATCATCACAATTATGACAAATGCCTTGAAATCTTGCTTTGCTTGAGTCTATCTCATATCTTAGTTTCACCTTTTAAGTTGCATTATAAATAAATGAACTTATGCACTATATTATAATCTTTTCAAGTTTCACCTGTATTTGAAATGCTACAATTTTGGCTAAGTTTCAATATATTTCAAAATATATTGAACTTTTGCATATATATAATATATATATATATGTCGACTGTTTCAGTTGTTATTTACATGTTATGTTATAATGTATTTGTATCATCCACAACCCCTGCTGTACACTAGTTGGTTGCTTCCACCCTTCATTTCTGTTGTAACCCATTTTTGTTTAGTGGTTATCAAGATACTGTAGAGTGAGGATATGTACATCACTAGAAATTTACCTATGAAAACACCTTTATGTTCATACTTTGTTACCTTGAAGCATAAAAGAAGCATTGGAAAAATGAAGTTGTTATTCATTGAGTAAACTATCTGTTAAGGCGATCATTCAACTTGCTGCACACATTCTGACAGACTGGGTCTAAACGAATTTGCCACAAGTACAAACCGATGCCAAGACAGAACAATATATATATAAATATATATATATATATATATTATTTATAATATATATATATGTACACACATATACTGCATGTTGAAATGTGTTTTTATACAAAATATATCAAAAATATTTGTAAAAATAATTTCAAATATACTGTATGTTAAAATTACTTTTTTTTATATGTTAAAAAAATCTGAAGAATATATTTAAAAAATATATATTTTTTAAAATTCTATTTTTCTTCCATATGGGATGTGCATTTCTGCACCGCATTGCGTCCATGTGATCTGCTGTGGGTTTCAATGTAAATTAACGACACCTGAAACAGATCGCAAAACGCAGTGCGATTTTTCCAGAATCAGATTGCTTGTGTGTGAACACCCATGGGATGCGATCCAGGTGCGGGGAAAAAAACAGGTCTTACACCATTTTGGTGCGGATGCGATTTGAGCCATACAAAATGTGTGGTTCAAATCACATTGCACAGATATTTCATGTGATATGCATGTGAATGCGGTGCAATTCCTTTGCTAATCACATGCAGTGTCCCATACCACACAAGTGTGAACCTCATCTTAGTGTTTTTTCTGCAGGAATGTTCAGCAGTTGAAAAGAATAGAATGGAAAAAAATAGAATAGAATAGATTAGAACAAAATAGAATGAATCGAATAGCCTTGTTCCGAAGTCCAAAATTTGAATTTAAATTTTTCTCAAATTTTGGATCCATTTGAAAATAATGAATATATGAAACAAATCCGAATATACAAAATGAATTCTGAAAATAAATCATTCTATCCTAATGAATATGAAGAAATCAAATTATTAACTTGATGAACAAATCCGAAACTAATCAAATTTTTGTGTTGTGCACATCTCCATTAGTGTCCTCAAGTTGCTGCTAAAAGGTACTGGAGTATTGCACAGTTACACTGAACCTGTCCAAGTTCAACTTCTGCAATAAAGCATACCCCACCTAGACTGTTCATTGAGCCAAGAGTGGCTGTGACTGTGTGCTTGGCTGCAGGGATTGAGGCTGTTACATTTTGAATACATTTTATCTTTCTAAATATTACTGATTGTCTTTTCAGATGGACACAGGACTAATTGTATCATCAGAAGAGCGGAGTTTGGTTCTTCATTGTGGCCCAAACTCACAAAGCTCTGCAATGGCACTGCACACATGGAGAACAAGCGCCAAGACTCCAAGTATCAGATAAGCCACTTTATTCATTTTTAAATGTGAGCGCAATACTATTGTTTATATCTTTATTAAAGCAGTATTCTATGTTATTCTGCTGTGACTGGGGTGTTTTCTTGTTAGTCATTGCTGACTTGTTTCTAAAGCTCCAAGCACACTAGTGTGTTTTTTTTTTTTTTAAGCTCAAAAAACGCTGGGAAAAATGCTGGATAAAAACCACTTGTAAAAGCGGTTTTTTAGTAGCATTTTAGCAGCATTCAGAAGCGTTTGCATTTTATTAGCATTTTTACAGTACATGTAGAGGAAAAAAAAAAAGCTAGAAAAAGGCTGTTAACACTGACAGAAAAAAACAAGCAGCAAGTTAAAGCGGAATTCCAACCAAAAGAGGAAGCTCCACTTGTTTGCCTCCTCCCCCCCCCCCTCCACTGCCATATTTGGCACTTTTTTTTGGGAGGAGTGGATACCTGGTTTTGACAGGTACCTGCTCCCACTTCCACCTCAGTTTGTCACGGCAAAGTGAGCTGGAAGTTCGGCCCCCTGCTTCTTCCTACAGTCTTCTGGGACACTTCACAGAAGACTGCTGGACCAATCAGGATGTGCATTGCAATTCGCGCATGAGAGCAGTGAGCACCCGGCTGTGATGCCGCAAGCTGTCACAACCTAGTGAGAGGAGACGGAGAGAAGGGATGGCATGAGTGAGCATATTGCTGGATCCTGGGACAGGTGAGTGTGTGTGTTTATTTAAAAGTCAGCAGCTACAGTTTTTGTAGCTGCTGACTTTTAGGGTCCTTTCACGTGGGCAGACCCATTTAGCAGATCCACTTGTTCAGCGGGAGATCTCTCCGCTGATCCCCGCTGAGCAAGTGGATGACACGTCTGTGTCTGCTCTGCTACTGCAGAGCGGACACAGAGAAGCTCGCTCTCCTCAATGGGCGGTCGGATGAAAACAGACCGCCTGTCCATTTCCATCCGACTCAGTCTGATAGACAGAAAGGGAATTGGATCTCCATCCATCCCTTTTTTGCAGGTCAGATCAGATTGGATATCGGTGGGTGTACACATGTCCATAGAGGAGAATGGAGGTTCCAGTCGGGTCCACCTGAAAAATGGGGAGGCGCACCCAATTGGAACGTCCAAAAATGAAAGAGGCCTTAATAAATACAAATATGACTGGAACTCTGATTTAACCACTTCCCGTCCAGTCCATGTACATAAACGGCCAAGGGAGAAGTGCTGAAGCGGGTCGGTGTTTATAAACAGCCCCCCAATTCACTGCCTGAGGACACAGCGGAACACCGATCGCTGTATGGGACCTCTGTATGAGGTTCCGATCATGTGAGAAAAAAAGAAGGAGAAGGAGAAATGACTGCCTTTTTTACAGCCTTTATGGGTGTAAGAACAATCAGTGTAAAAAAAGAAAAAAATCTTCACCACAGTGACACTGTACTGCTAGGGTGACGGTATGTAAAAAAAAAACAAAAAAAAACAAAATAATAATATAAAAAAATAAAATAAAAATGGAAAAAAAATTTTTAAAAATTATAATTTTTGGCCTTAAAATAATTTGGGTTATCAGGTTTTTTTTACTAATATGATAGCTGAATTTATGGCCAATTTTAACCACTTTTCAATACCGTGCAATTTTACACCTAAACTGCCCAGGCCAGTTTTCAGGTTTCAGCGCTCTCACACTTTGAATGACAATTGCGCGGTCATACAACATTGTACCCAAACTAAAATTTGATCATTTTATTCAAGTACTAGAGCTCCTCTTTTGGTGGTATTTAATCAGCGCTAAAGTTTTTTATTTTTTGCTAAATTAACAAAAAAGACCAAAAATTTTGAAAAAAAATACAAATTTTTCTTTGTTTCTGTTATAAAAGTTTACAAATAAATAATTGTTCTTCATAAATTTAGGCGAGAAGTATTCTGCTACATGTCCTTTGGTGAAAATAACCCAAATTAGGATGTCATTTTTTAGTTTGTAGGAAAGTTATAGCTTCACAAACTATGGTAAACAGATCTGCATATTGATCAATCCTGAAGTACTGAGCCCCCAATCTAATTTCTTGAGGTCCAAGAATGTCAGAACAGTACAGATATCCCCCAAATGACCCCTTTTTGCAGAGTAGACAGTCCGACGTACTTCATAAGAGGCATGGCGAGTTTTTTGAAGTTGTATTTTTTTGTCATAATTTTTCGGAAAATTAAAAAATTAAAAAAATTATTTTCACTATTTTTTTTTTTACATACTGTCACCAGTGCAGTACAGCGTCATCATATGAAACTGGCATGGCGGTGAACAGCGACACTGACTGGTGACAGTATGAAAAAAATATATAATACAATATTTTTTTTTTTTATTATATTTAATTTTTTATTACATTTTTTTTTTTTTTTTCAAGATTTTTTTTCATATTTTACTATGACCAAAATAGTACAATGTTACCATAGTAACACTGTACTACTTTGGGGAAGTGATCAGTATTTTTTTTTTTTTTTTTTTTTTACACAATTTGCTGTATAGCAAAGAATTACTTTGCTATAAGCAAGCATTTACCAGAATGAAATCGATTCATTCAGCATCATTTTTTTTTTTTTTTTTTGTGCTTAGCTGTGATTTGGTCACAGCTAATCACATGACATGTGCATGTGATTAGCTGTGACCATTCACAGCTAGGCACTAGTATACAATGGATGGCATCATGAATGAAGCCATCCATTGTATACAACTGTCATGTGACCTGCTGTGATTGGTCACAGCAGGTTCACATGGTACCGGCAACGGGAGCCGGTACTCGGATCTGTCATCTGCCGTGTCCGAGGTGCACGGGCGGTGACAGATCGCACTGCTAATCGCTTGCAACCGGTTAAAACCGCGCATGTGCGGGAGCACGCCAAATGGCGTGCACCCGGAAAGCTGCAGCGCTTTTCAAGCCGCCAAACGGCCATTGGCCGGGCGGCTAATGGTTAAGAAGAAAGATTATTTATTTGCAAAATTTTATAAGAAAAAACACTTTTTTTTTACAAATGTTTGGACTTTTTCATTTATATAGCAAAAAAATAAAAATCCCAGTGGTGAATAGATACCACCAAAATAAAGTTTTATCTGTCTCAAAAAAATGCTAACAAATTCATATGGGTACAGTGTTGCATGACCGCACAATTGTCATCCAAAGTGTGATAGCACTCAAAGCTGAAAATTGGCCTGGACAGGAAGGAGGTGAAAAGGTCCAGACTTAAAATGGTTAAGGAAAAACTACAGATGAGTATATTTGTTCCTTGTCAGTGATTCAGGAAAAATGGACAACAATCCAACTGGAAATTTTAAGAATGGGAGCTCAATAATGAGAGCCTACATATTTTTTTCAGTACAGGTTTCATTTAAAGTATGAGCATCTCCCACAGTGGCCCATATCTACATCTTTCACTCATAAACTTTCATCTGATCTGATCTATATGGATATGCTAGCAAATGCTGTGTCAAAAAAATGGACCTTGAAAACACTGGGCTGGTAATTAGTTTTTTCCATCTAAGTATTTACGTAAATATATGTAAATATATTCAGATGAGTTGATGTGTAAATAAAAAGCCATCTCCAGCAATGGCCCACTGAACAGAATTAGGAGAACATCCTGAGCTGAATTTCTATCTCAGTGCAGACATGATTCATCTCCTGGGATTATTGTGCCTGATGCACTGTGTACAATGTAAGATGATCTGTTCATTGACATGTAACAATATCTAGTGTATCCAATTGATAACAAATATTTTTATTACTTTTTATTACTTAATTTTTTTAGATGGCACATCAGAAATCACAATGGTGGAGTCTGGTCCTGGGACAGTGAAGCCATCAGAGACTCTGGAACTGACCTGTAAAGTGACCGGAGCCTCCCTCACTGACAGCTCTAAGATGGATGGTGTGCACTGGATCCGACAATCTGAAAGGGAACAGATGGAGTGGTTGGGCGTAATATGGTATGATGCCAACACAGTGTATGCCAGCACTCTTCAGGGACGACTGACTCTCTCCAGAGACACAAATGAAGGAAAAGTGTTTTTAAAACTCACTGGAATGAAATCTGAGGAATCCGGAACATATTATTGTGCAAGGAATGCATACACACACAGTGTGTCAGATAAACTAGCAGTCTGTGCATAAACATATTTATATACTGTAGATTAGAAGGTATTAGAATAGGAGTAATTGATTACAATATTTTGTAGTAGTTAACTTAGTTTGATTAAGGGCTGGTTCACACCAGATACAGTCCAGTGTTCTTGTTTTCTGCATCAAAAATGCATGCACAGTGTTTTCCATGTATTCCGATGGCCCTAGTTCACACCAGTGTAGTCAGTTCCAGCGCAGAAAAAAAAATAGAACATGCTGCATTTTTACTGCACAGAACTGTACTGGAACACTGCATCAGAAATATACAAATACATCAGAATGGGGTGTGGTGTGAACTGTAAGCAAAAACGCATTCAGAACGCATCCAGAGTGTGTTTTTGTTGTGTGAACTGGCCAATAAAGGCATTATATCAAATGCTAAGAATGCTCAGGGCCAGTTCACATTATAAAAAACACACTCCGGATGCTTTTGCATACAGTTCATACCACACTCATTCTGGTGCGTTATTGATCCGTTTTACTGTGTTGCAGTACAGTTCTGTGCAAAAAAAAAAAAAATGCACTGAAGGAAATATTAGTGTACATACAAAATAATGGGGGAATAGTGGATTTTTTCAGCACTGGAATGCAAGAAATGCAGACACGAGAGTATAAAAATGGCTAGCAAGAACACTCTGTCCTGTGATAATTTTTGGTTAACAAAATAAAATCAAATTGATTGAATACTTGTTTTGGGCAATTTACCTAAGAGCAGGCCACAGGCCCAGACTGGCCATAAGGCACAACAGGCATTTGGCCATAGGGCACCCGGTGGGCCTGGGCCGCCATGCTCAACCTCCAGGCTGGTACCGGTCCATGGCCCATTGATGACTGGGCTGCACAGTGGAGGGCAAGTGGCAACCGTAGTCTGGACAAGGCTAACACAGATTGCGGTCACCACTCACCTCCTGCTGTGTGGCTGTGCCATGTGTCTCCTTCTCCTGTTCTGCTTCAAGAGGAGCTGGAGATCTGCATTGACCCCCCAGGCCGATCCAGCCTTGATCCCCCTGGAGCAGTGCACATATCAAACACAGAAGATTAAGGAGTGAGGAGGGGGCAGGACCCGGACTGACATTTGGGGAGGAGTATTTAGGGACCACGCCACGCCTGGTCATTGGCTGTAGAGAGTGACGACAAGTGACCTGTGGAAAGCCAGAAGAAGTAGAGGTACAAAGAGAGCTCCTGTGGCCTCGAGAGTGTGAGAGAGAGAGAATCTACTACAGAGAGAAATAGACATCCCAGAGAGAGAGAGGGGGGGAAGAGAGTGGTAGATAGGAGAGGGAGAGGGATAGAGGGAGAGAGAGGGAGAGGAGAGAGAGAGGAGAGAGAGAAGGAAGAGAGAGAGAAGGAAGAGAGAGAGAAGGAGAGAGAGAGAGAGAGAAGGAAGAGAGAGAGAAGGAAGAGAGAGAGAAGGAGAGAGAGAGAAGAGAGAGAAGGAAGAGAGAGAGCGGGAGAGAGAGAGAGGGAGGAAGAGAGAGAGAAGGAAGAGAGAAAAGGAATAGAGAGAGAGGTGGCGAGGGAGAGAGAGAGAGGGGGGAGAGGAGAGAGAGAGGAGAGGGGGGAGAGAGAGAGGGGGAGGGGAGGGAAGAGAGAGAAGGAAGAGAGAGAGAGAGAAGGAGAGAGAGAGAGAAGGAATAGAGAGAGAGAGAGAAGGAGATAGAGAAATAGAAGGAGAGAGATCTTATATAGAGAGGAATCCCATACTGTATATAAAGAGAAAGTGATCCACTTACATAGATATGATATAGAGAGTGCTCAAGAGAGGGGGGTGCTATGCGGCCATGCCTGTGTGTCCTCTCCACGGTCTCCCACCCCACCAATGATATCATCCTATCAGCAGAGCAGGGGGCGAGAGGAGCTTCAGATCTGAATAGAGAGTGGGAGTTTTCTACATTCACAAGCTTATCACCAGCTTATTAATATGATCCAGATCTGCAACTCCTCCTGCCCCTGCCCTGTTGATAGAACGACATCGTCAGCGGGGCAGGAGGCCTTGGAGAGGACACACAGGCTGAACCCTGCCTGTGCCCTGCCAAAGGAAGGACTGTGCAGGGCAGGCAGAGTGTAAATGGGGGCACTGTGATTAGAGAGAAAAGAGGCAGGGCCATGACTGCAAGGGGCACTGTGGTGGGGCACTATGAAATAAAGGGACTGCACCACAATCATTTCAGTACCCCTTTACATTTTAGTGAAGAGGACCTTTAGGACCTACTCCGTGAATATCCCATCAACACCAACCTCCCCTGCCGAAGCCTGCTACCCCTTCCTTCCCCTGGAAAAATTGGCTGCTCAGTCTAAAATGCCCAAGCCTATTTCTTCCCCCATACCAATGCTCCCCCTTCTGGTATAACTGGCAAATACCAGCTGTCAAAATGACAGATGAGAATTACCATGCATAGCCAGAGCTGTTGTCAAAATGCAGCTGCTCCTGTGTACATTGACACTTGCAGATAGTCTGTAAGTGTAAGTGAATAATGTATTGTTACATAGTATTTACTTTTTTTTCTCATATGTAGATCTAAAGGTGTGACCTTTGATCTATATATCATTAGACATCAGTTAAAAAAAAAAAGTTTGTTTTAAATAAAACATGATATATATGTTTCCTAGGACATAGTCAATAACACAAGGCATGGCCGGATCTAGGGGAGTGCAGGAGTGGGCTGTGGCCCCCCAGATTTGAATTGTTCTTCCCCAGGTCACCCCCCCCCCATGGACATTGAATCTGGCCCGCTCAACTCCTCTCTCCATCCCCCCCGTGCTCAGGGCCGGGACAAGGCTTGGAGACAGCCTACTGCAGTAAATTAAAAGGTCTGGAAAGACATGACAGCGCCACAGAGGAGACAAGGGGAGGTGCTGAACTGTGTTCTTCCCCCTCCTGTCATAGTTTCAAAGCCGCCTTCAGTGTGAACCAGGGCTTAATATCTAAGTTTGTCCCACAAATACAACTCTAGAGAGAAAAGGCAATATGAGCTATTGTAAAGAGTAGGTTACGAATGCCCATTTAACCTGTAGTAGTAACTTTCCATATCTATGGAGCAAAAATGCAAACCAAAGGCACTATCATAGTTAAACATAGAGTATATGTTATCTTACTCGTATTGTTGCAACTGCAAGCTAAGAATCAATCCCATCAAAATGATCACAATGCCAAAAAATAATAAAAAAAAAAAATATAAGAATGAAAAGTAGGATGGAATAAACAGTGGGGAATCCAGTGACACAGCAAAATATGGGGTCACCCAAACAATGGAGCATGCTTACCTGCCAGTTTGGCATTCCAATCCCTTAGTATGTGGTCATGGCAGTGTAGAGGCAAAAAGTACATTGGTCAGCCTCTTGCCTCCAAATATAAGCAGGAGGAAGAGCCCACTCCAAAAAGGTACTAATTGGAGGCATCCAAACTGGGAACATGTGTCCCCAATAAGCACCCTACTATGAAGCAGCAGGGCGATGGCACAACCCTGTCACTTACGGCGGGATGACGTCATTAGAAGGCTGCTGGCACACATACGTGCCTAGCCCCTTGACGACAAGTCATCATGGAAGAATCAGAAGACTCCATCCATTGCCAAGGAGACCAAGGAGATAAACAATCCCTCCACTCACATAGTCCTGACAGCACAACTTCGGGGCAACTAAAGAGCCCTCCCCCCTCCCGAATGGGAAAGGCCTACATGTTCCGGGGGAGCATACCAGTGTTGACAAACACATGGGGCTCTGTGCATAAGGAACAATGTGTTTGTTCTTCTTGCAAAGCAGCAGTGCTAAATAGCAAAACATGGCCTGGTCGTGAAGGGGGTAAAACCATCGGGTGGTCAAGTGGTTAACTGATATATAATTTTAAGAGGAAACAGCATATTTTTGTTTAAAGTATATGGGTCTTTTTTTAGGCAGGATTGTCAGAATAGGCGTTAGGAGGGGGGAGGGAGTGTTGTTAGGAGTTAGTTGTGCCTGGAATTGTACTTTAAATTCCACTTTCATTTTATTAATAAATCAATCCCGCTGCGTTCAGTTTCTAATTTTGCTTCTGTGACGATCAAAGCCTATACTTTACTGACCTCTGATAGAAGTTCTACACATAACTCAATCAATGATATTTAAAATATAGAATACGCAAACCCAATTAAAAAAAATCCAATATATGCTTTTTATTTTTTTCATATATTGAAATTTCAATAGTAATATTCAACACATTTACTTGAAATTCTGTTATTGTTAAATATTTAAAGTATTATGGGAAAAATTAATAATCTTCACTTTATTACCCCCCTGACCATTGGAAGGTTTTACCCCCCTTCATGACCAGGGCATTTTTTTGCTATTTAGCACTGTGCTGCTTTAACTGACAGTTTCTCAGTCATGCAATACTGTACACAAATAAAATTTATATAATTTTTTTCACACAAACAGAGTTTTCTTTTGGTGGCATTTAATAATCACTGGCTTTTTATTTTTTGCTATACAAAATGAAAAAACACTGAAAAACCCCAGAAAATTTTCTCACAAATACTAACCGTAAATTTCCTTTCCAGATGGACTCCATGGCAGTATACATATGGGTTTGCCCAACCCTGTCCACTCCTGTAGGACCCCACTCCCATAAATCTTTGCTCAGAGCCAGTGGCCGTGTTCCGTAACTATCCTACTCACGAAATTGGGCGGGTATTCCTACTGCTATGGAGTCCATCAGGAAAGGAAAATTATGGTAAGTATTTGATAGGAAGTTT